GTTGGGAGTCCGCCTGCCGATGCAGGGCGCGCGGTTCGTGTCCCGGTCCGGGAGGATCCCACATGCCTTGGAGCAGCTGGGCCCGTGGGCCATGGCCCCTGAGCCTGCGCGTCCGGAGCCTGTGCTCCGCAGCGGGAGAGGCCACAACAGTGAGAGGCCCGCGTACCGCAAAAAAAAAAAAAAAAAAATTCACAAAACTGATTACGTGTTTCATACCAACCTGAATGGGAGTAAACTAATATAATTTAGCACTTCAGTCATCATTCAGGAGTGACAAGTTTGTAGGCCTGCAAAAGAATTTTGTTCTTAAACCAAACAACACAATGCCAACTGCTACTTACAAGTCTCTAATAACTCCCCTCCATTCTAATTACCAATAGGCTGAGATGACCAAGTTGTGAAAATTCTAAGTTCAGAGTGAGAACGTGAAAAGAAGACTTACACAGGAAAAAAAAAAAAAAAAAAAGAATAACTTTAGCAGATACCTATAATGAAAGTGTGACTTTTAAACACTGTGAGCTACACCACAATGAAATGCAGGGTGAACCTCCTCTGCAACCTGGTTTGAAAAGCCATTGTGGAGTTGGAAATCTGAAATATGAACTGGATATTAAATATAAGAGAATTTGTTAATTGCACTAGGTGGGATAAGGGTATTATGGTTACATAAGGAAACATTTAGAAAGAAAATGTCAAGATGTCTATAAAATAAAATACATAAAGCAAAAATGAGGACAAAATACTGGTAATGATTAAATCTAGGTGATGCGTATATAAGAGTTCCTTATACTATTCCTTCAACTTTTCTGTGTGCTTGAAATTTTTATAATAAAAAGTTAAAATTTTAAACTTTAATCCCAACATTTCATTGTTTAAGACTTATTAGCTACTAATATGTCTGAAAGAGAAAATCACTTCTCTTAAATTCCTAAGAGAACAATGGATAATCCAGTAAGTATGTGTCTTTTTTCCCCCCAGGTTCATTCCTGACAAGTAATGCCTTCAAGTAACATCCAACCTTAAGTAAAAGGTCACTGACCTGAAGTGGGGGATTATAAAACAAAATACCAGACAATAGTACTACTGTCCTTGTACTGTTTTACAGGACTTTAAATATTGACTTTGTATATGCAAGGTATAAGTCAAACCACTTAAAAAAAAAATAGAAACAGCATGTATAAACTCTAACCCAAGATAAGAAGGGGGAAAAATAGAAACAAAGCATTGCAGAATTGGCACAAATAAAAAACAAACCAGGATGGCTGAAATAAGATCAAATATATCATTAATCACAAGCAATGTGTAAGTAACTTTAAACTCTTAAAGGTGTTATCAAATTGGTTTAGTAAGAATTCAATTTTATGCAGTTTATCCAAAGACCTCAAACAAGTACATAGAAAGGTTAAAAGTTTAAAAAGAAAAATTAAATCCTCAACAAAACACTAGCAAACCAAATCCAAGAACATATAACAAGGATTGCACACCATGACCAACTGGGATATATCCCAGGATTGCAAAGTTGGTTCAACATATGAAAATTGATTAATGTAATCCACCATATATAAATGGTATAAGACACAAAAACCACATAATCATCTCACAGATGAAGAGACAGCAATGTAACAAAATCCAACACCCATTCACGGGGCGGGGGGCGGGAGGGGGGGACACACCTAACACAATGCGAAAAACTGAAAGCTTCCCCCCCATCCCATGATCAGAAACAAGAAAAGAATGTCCATTCTCCCCATTCAGTACAACACTGTACAGCAGGATCTAGCCAGAGCTTAAGGTAAGATAAAGAAATAAAAACCATTTAGATTGGAAAAGAAGGAGAAAACTATCTGAACTTGCAGTGACAGGACCATGTACATAGAAAATTCTAAGGAATCCACATACACAACAAAAAAAATTCAAGCTAATATATGAGTTCAGTAAGATTGCAGAACAGATCAATATATAAAAATCAACTGTATTTAAACTGTGTACTAGCAATAAACAATCTGAAAATGAAATTAAAAAATAATTCCACTTATGATAGCATAAAAAAAATTAAATGCCTCAGAATAATTTTTTAGAAGAGTTGCAAATGTTGTACTCTGAGAACTACAAAAAAATCATTGAAAGAAAACCTGAAAACCTAAATAAGTGGAAAGACATTCCATGTTCATGGATCTCAAGGCATAACATTGGCAATACTCCCAAAATTAATCTACAGAAGAAATCCAATCTCAATCAAAATCCCAGCTGCCCCACCCCCCTTTTTTTTTTTTTCAGTAATTGAGAGATTCTAATTGTAAAATCTGTATGGAAATGCAAGGAACCCAGAATAGCCAAAACAATCTCAAAAAAGAACAAAGAGAAATCACACTTCCCAATTTCAAAACTTAATACCAAAGCTGTAGTAATCAAGATAGTGTGATACTGCCATCAGGATAGACATACAGATCAATGGAACAGAACTGAGAGTCCAGAAATAAAATCCTACATATACGGTCAATTGATTTGATCAAGGAATTAGAGGAGTAATAGTCTTTTTTTTTTAAATGGTGCTGGGACGATTGAATATCCACACGCGAAGAATGAAGTTGGACCCCTACCTCACACAATATAAAAAAAATTAACCCCAAATGGCTCAAAGGTCTAAATGTAAGAATTAAAACTGTAAAACTAGAAGAAAAATAGTAAATCTTCATGACCTTAGATTTGGTGATGATTTCTTAGATCTGACACCAAAAGCACAAGCAGCCAAAGAAAAAATAGATAAATCGGGCTTTTTAGAAACTTTTGTTCTACAAACGACACCACCGAGAAAGTGAAACAACAACCTCCTATGGGAGAAAATAATGACAGCCCAGAGAATGGGAGAAAATATTTGAAAATCATATCTGATAAAGGATTTGTATCTAGAGTATATAAAGAACTTATTCCTCAATAATAAAGAACTCAATTTTAAAATGGGCAAAGGATCTGAATAGACAGTTCTCCAAACAAGACATACAAATGTCCAATAAACACATGAAAAGATACTCAACATCTTAAGCCATCATGAAGTGCAGACCAACCAAAAGTCACAATAAGATACCACTTCACACCTACTAGAATGGCTATAATCAAAAAGTCAGATGATAACGAGTGCTGATGAGGATATAGAGAAACTGAAACTCTAACACACTGTTGGTTGGACTATAAAATGGAGCAGCAGCTTTGGCATTTCCTGGAAAAAAAGTAAAACTACTTGGCAGTTCCTAAAAAAGTTAAACATAGAGTTACTCTACGACCCAGCAATTTCACTCCTAGGTATATACCCCAAAGAATTGAAAACACAAGTCCACACAAAAACTTATACACGGATTTTTTTAGCAGTATTATTCGTAACAGCCAAAAAGTGGAACAACCTTGAATCCATTAACTGATGTATGGACGGGTAAATAAAATGTGGCACACCCATACAATGAATTCTTAGAACATGTGATTCTAGACTTAGAAAAAATTCCAACTACTGCAGTATCATCAATCACATCTATTAGTTTCATCAGAGCTCAGTACCCGAAACCTAATGACACAAATTTAATTAACACAGTACTTATGGTATTTTCAGAGACTGTTTATATAAAGCTTACAGTACGAAGGTAGTTTCAAAAACAGAAAAAACAAACATTATTTTAAATCTCAATAGAAAGTATCTTTCTATCACCAAAGGGAGATTTGAAAACCAATGATTCTAAACAATGACTGCTACCTGGGTGAAAAGTAGGGATTCCTCTGAAAAAATATACCTGAAATTTTATATACCATGTCTGAAATGGGAAGGAATGAAACATTAAATCATCACTGTTTTCACTTTAAACAGACAGGCTATGAGACAGGCAGTTATTCAACTAAGGTTAAGTGAGAAAATTTTTTTAAAGGAATTCTGGCACTGATTGACCTGTGGACAACGGCTGTCATTCTTCTATTCTCCCTCCTTTGTTAAACTGTTCCTCTTTAACAGTTGCTTCACCAGTAAAGATCCTTTGGGAAGTCTACATTTTGGAGTAGCAGGATTTCTTAAATCAGCTAGTGCAGCACAGTTTAAAAAACAAACAAAACCACAGGTTCTGAGGTCTGGTTTGGCTTAACAGCTGAGAGGCTCTAAGCCTCAAGCACATTATTATGCTAAATCTGTTTCCTCTTCTATATGTTATAAAGTAGTTCTTTTATCTTTATACCTTTCCCTTCCTCCAGATTCTCAAACTGGTTACAGCATAGTTATTTCTTCTACATTAAGTGTCTTCATTATTAAAATTATGTAAATACTGTGATTACTGCTAGAGCAAGTAGTATACTGTGATTATTTCAATAGCTCAAAATACCTGATTTGAAATTTCTTAACAGTACATATTTGACACAAGGCATAAGTTAGAAAGGGAGGGAAAAAGGAGTCATTTGTGTGTCACTAACTAAAACATTTGAATGCTGCTGTAATGTCTCTAATTTTTCTCCCTGGTCTCCCCCTCTGTTATATATTATCACAAACTAATAACCAAATCGCAATTAAGGCCTCATCCTTTAATAACAGCTACTTTTAATAATAAGAGAGAGTTAAGTTGGTCAGACCATCTTGAAAAAAAGTTTTCCTACATTAACAGCAACCAAAACTATAAGACACCTAGGAATAAACCAAACAAGAAATATCCTAAAGGTTCAACTGAAGAAAATAAAGTTTTACTGATAATTAACCAAATAAAGAAGCATGTCATGTTACTAATTTGTTCATCACTACATTTCAGCACCTAGAACAACAGCTGGCACTTATCTGCTTAAACAGACAATATATTTCTTGAAGGGAATGATTCAATACCGTAAAGATGTAAGTGTACCAAATAATCTAAAAACTTAATGGGACTCCCAATTAAAATCAGTCCCAACAGACTTTTAATAGACCTTGATAAACTCACCTATTACATAAAAAAATTTAAAAATCATAAGTGGGTAAAATATCAAGAGCATGAACATACCCACAAATGTCTTAAGTTGTCCTCTGAGTGCTTCTCAAACATTCTAAGCACCTGTTGGACAAACATGAATGGAAGTCAAAAGGCTTGGGAAATGTCTCACAAATGCCTAAATCTGGTTTAGGAATTCCTAAATAAACAGTTCTCAGAGTAGTTCCCCCCAACACAATTCAGAGGGTCTAAACTAATTCAAGGGGTCAAAACTATTTTCAACATAGTACTACGAGGCTATTAGCCTTTTTTTCATTCTCATTTCCTCATAACTGTACAGTGGTGTTTTCCAGAGGCCACACGATGTGTGATATTGCTACAGGTTGAATCACAAGCAGACAAGAATCAAGCTATCTTCTACTAAGCCAGATAGTAAACGTTTACAAAATGTTTACCACCACTCTCTTCATAAATTTTTGAAAATGATTATTTAACAGTGTTATTTATGTTAATGTGATGTTATTTTTACTTTTAAATCAATATATTTAAAGAACTTTTCAGTTTTAATTTGTAATATGGTAAGTACTGATTGACCTAACCCACATAAACAAAAGCCTTTTGGGTTCCTTAGTAATTTAGGAGAGTAAGGGGGTCCTAGGACCAAAAAGTTTGAGAACTGCTTTTCTAACCTAAGCAGACACTCAGTTCCTCAGTTAAACAATGCTTTGCCCAACGTATAGATCAACTGCCAGATTGGAATAAACTTAGAAGGCTAAGTAAAGCACAACTAGTGGGCAAGTAACATCAAAAGTAGCTACATCGGGATCCCCTGGTGGCGCAGTGGTTGAGAGTCCGCCTGCCGATGCAGGGGACACGTGTTCGTGCCCCAGTCTGGGAAGATCCCACATGCCGCGGAGCGGCTGGGCCCATGAGCCATGGCCGCTGAGCCTGCGCGTCCGCAGCAGGAGAGGCCACAACAGTGAGAGGCCCGCATACGGCAAAAAAAAAAAAAAAAAAAAAGTAGCTACATCAGCTCCCCAGAGATCACCAGTAGAGAAGGCAGAAGAGGTTTCTATAAGCTAACAAGCTAACAAGTTTATCATCTGCTTTCTTATTCATTTATGGCAAACTACGACTTCTTCCCGTCCTTCCACATATTGATTACCTAAAGTATCAATCTAGGAACAAGGTAAACCAAGAGAACTCTCAGATTATACATCTTTTTTTCTTTTTTGATCTAATGTATGCAGATAGTTTATTATTAATTCAAATATATTCAAATGAGAAATAAATTCCTTTGTTGAACTAGACTATTTGAACTGTTTGCCACTTGGACTACTTCCTCTCTGGGATGCTTTAGAATACCTGCTATGCTCACAGCTCCTCTGGACAGGTTCCTTAAGCAGATCACCATGCTTTCTATCCCAGAAGAGGGACCCGATACCCTGATCATACCTGGCTAGGATGAATATCTGACACCAGGACAAAAATCTAAAACGTAGGCAGCTGTCTCAGAGATAGCCAGAACTCCCCCAAAAGGAGGAATTTTGCCAAGAATAATAGGAGCATTATGTGTAGTTAAAAACAAAGAGCTACTATACTAAGTCACCACCAGCACAGAGAATCATAGCTGAAGACACCTGTACTCAATCCTGAAAGACCTCCTAATTCCTGAATGACATCCCCACCTTCATGTCTGACTGTGAGATAGGTGAAATAATGATCTTCCTTCCCTCTATATCCTTTGTGAGGGGGTATAGATGTATTAATCCCATTTATTAAGGTAATATACCACATTCCTTACAACCTGAAAAATATAACTACCACACTTGGGGGATTAAAAAAAAGGATCAGAATGAAGAATTGGAGGCTAATTGTGAAAAACTAGATAATCAGGATCATTTTTTCTCTGCACACATCAATAAGAGAACATTCATCGTGTTATATAAATGGAAATGGTAAGACATTGCTACAACACACAAGATCCCATAAGATATGGTCCCATTATGTAAGCTGATTACTGGGAAGGTTATAGGAAGAAATGAAAATATTGGCCTTATATTTTGTCTATATCATCTGTGAATATTGAACCCTACCCCAATCAACTGAAAAAGGCAGGAAAACTGAACACCTATCAAAATCTCATTCTCAGAATTTCACAAGCTGAAACAAGATTCTAGAACTCAGTGTTTAAACAAAGATCAGTCACTGATAAAACATATGTAATCCAAATAAAATTACTCAGATTAGATAGTAAAATCTAAATTTAAATAAACGCTGAGTGGCTAAAAATTTTAAATAACAATATAAGGATTAAAACACTCAAGTATTTTATGTTTTTTCCAAGAACTGAAAAGTGGCTCAAGGCCTTAACTTGATAGCTAATAAGCAGGTGCTCATTTCTCACCCAGTTCTTCCTGAGCAGAAACATGTCTGGCTTAGGACAGCTCAGAAGGGAAGGAGAGGTGGGAGGAGTCCACGAAGCATTAAAAAACAAACAAAAAAATTTGATATTGGCTTATGAGAAAGTGTGTTTTTCCATTACACTGCCACCATTTTTCCTTCAATACGAGACAAAAAGTAAACACTGCAGATTTAGTCGGAAAGGAAAAAAACCCAGTAGCATTCCTTCTATACTAACAAACCAATCATTTAACAGGCTCTAGTGTTTGCAATTTAAACTTTATGTCATCCAGGAAAACCTTTATGAATTAGGAAAAGACTTTCACTTTTCTATAAAAATACACACACAAAAATAAATCTCTCCTCTGAATAGCTTTTGTCCAATGTGAAAGAGCTTGAAAAACTGTAGCTAAAATAACATATACATAAATATTTTTTAATCTAAAGAACAAACTTCTGTAATTCTGATCCAAACAAACCAATTGTAAAACACAAAATGAAAAAAAAACCCACAAAACATAATTTTAATTAGAATCAGTGAAAACAGAAAACTGACTAGACAATTGATAATATTTAAGAAATCACTGCTAGTATTCCTTAGGCTTAATGATGACATTGTGATTGTGTCTTATGTTGTGTTCCTGTGGTTGTTTTTTTTCCCTCAAGTATTTATCTTTCAGATACACCTGAAAGATTTACACATGAAAGGATTTTGAGAGTTCTTTACCATATCCAGCAGAGATGAAACAGGGCCAGTCATGTGACAACAATGGTCGAAGCTGGGTAACTGGTACAGGAAGCTTTATTACACTCATCTCTATTTCTTGTATAAGGTCGAAGAAAAAAAGTATCCCAGGCACCAAAACATCCTGTCAAAAGCATAGAAATTTCTCTCCCACTAAATCACCCCAGAATTCTGCTTCTTTCTTCTTATTTATCTGCTTTGATTAACAATAAGTTCTATTCTTGAAACCAATTAACTTCCTCCAATAGACCTGTAACTGAAATACAAGACTCACCTTGGTGTCTTTTTAACGCCATTCATCAGATAGGTGAAGGCCAGTGAGGACACAACCCAGGATTCCAACTCACAACTGGTAATCTGATTTTAACTTCAAGACCACATATCCGTTTTGAGTCAAAATGAACTATCACAGGTTGTTTTTGTCTTTTGAATTTCTCTTACTATCCCCAGTATTTGAACTAAGTTTGGTGAGTAGTACATAAGGGTGAAAAGTAACAAATGTTCACTCCCAGGAAGTAAAACTCTTTCAATGAAAAGGGGTAAAGAACTCAACCGAATATGACACCCAGAAATGTTCCAATAATCTCGGGGTACGCAACTCTACATACACCCTTACGCTCCCTCGCCTCAGAAGTCTTTTAAATGGTTTAGAAAAGACCGACCCTGGTTGGTTTGTTTCATCTCCTCCTCCTTTCTTAGGGGAGGTGCTAGAGAGCAAAGAAATGACCAAAAGGCCGGAAGAAGGAACGCGAAAAGCATGGAGTCTGGACAATCAGCCCTTAAGTAATTGAAAGCTGTACCCAAATTAAATGAAGTTAAAGGGAGCTTGCTGCTACGCTCCTCCCGGTAACTCCAAGGCACCTGAGCGGCTCAGAGAGTGGGAACACCTGGCTGGAGACAGAGCGGATCCCAACTCCCTCTCTCGCCAAGAATTCATAGATACAAAGACATAAAAAGAACTCTTCCTGACCCCCAGCAAGAGTAGCGCCACGAAAACAACTCCCAACCTCCGAGCCACGCTGGCTGAGCCGGCCCCGCGGGGCCGCGAGCCCTGCCCCGCGGGGCCTCGAACCCCAAACGACTGCCCCGCTCCTCAGGCCGGACACCCCTTCTCCCGGGCCGGGCGAGGGGCAGCAAAGGGACGGAGTCTCGGCTGGGAACCCGCCCGCCGCTGAGGCCCTCCGCGCCCGCCCGGTACTGGGGTCTCGGGCCCGCGCCACCCACTGTGGGCCCCGGACGGTGCCCCACGGGGCCGCTCTCGAGCCTCGACCCCGGTACGCCGCGCGCCCACAGGACCCGCGCGCCCCCCTCAGCCGCGCCGGCCGCCGCCGTTGAAACCCCGACACCGGCTACCTGTCTTCGCTCTTGTTTTTCTGCTTCTTTCCCATCGTGTGTCAGCGGCGCTCGTAGCCCCAGCCCCTCTATTCGGTCTCTCACAGACCCAGTGTCCCCCGGCCGACTTCGGTCTCCGCTCGGCTCCGTCCCCCACCGCGGTGCCGCCTCTCGCACCCGGCTCTCCACAGACCCGCGCACTGGGACAGGGCACATATGGTGTGAGCTCCGAGTGCGCAAGCGCATCGCCCCACCGCCTCGGCGTGTGGACGCAGGGCGCGGCTCATTGAGAGCTGCGCCTCGGGTAGAGCGTCTCCAGTTGACCCGCCCGCCAGGCAGGAGCCCGAGCGCCCCCTTTCCGCAAGCGTCAGCCGTGCACCGACGCCCGTGCGGTTTCCAGATTCTAGAACCCGGAGGTGGACAATGAGGCTGAAAATTCCACCGTCAGCCTTCTCCCTGTGGGGAACGCAGACTTGGGGAATCGGATCTCAGTTCAGGAGTGGACTTTCGGTTTCCCTTCCACCTTTAACCTCTGTCCCTTTGTACTCTCAGCTGCGTGAAGTTCAGTAAAGAACCACAATGAACCCCTGGTTAGCTGTCCAGGTGTTCCCAAGGGAGATAGAGAAATCCAGCACAACATGAGTCCATGACTTACCAAAAAAATAAATACATAAACCAAACAAACCAGAAATCATAAAACAAGGACACACCCATTAATTCTGCAAAATAGATCATAATCTTTACATTCAAAGCGAGAGCAAGTTCTAAAAATGTTTGTCAGGGAAGTCGCGAGGGAACATATTAGGGTTGTGAAAGTGTTCTATATCCGGATCTGGACGATGACACTACGAGTGTTAACTATGTAAAAACTATGGCGTATAAGTTATATTTCAACTTTTTTGTTAAAAGGGGAAACGTTCAATAAACAGATGGAAACGAAATTGGAGTGTCACTCCTGAGGAAGACAGTAGCTATTTCATTTCTGATGTAACATTATGTCAGAGCCTAAGAACGTCAACTCCAGGCTGAGCACTAAGAAACTACAAACTCCAGCATACATCGCTTCCTCGCTCTCTGGGCTGTTTACACGGAGGGAGGGACAGGTTGGGCCACCTCGGTTCCGGGCGGTGGGGCGGGGAAAGGTGGGGGGAGCGCACGCGCAGAAGCGCTCACCGCACGCACGTCCCCTCCCTTCCCCCCCTCCACTTCCTGGGGCGTCGCAGATTGTATCGCGTGAGAGCCGCGGCCAATGAGGAGGCAGAAGTGACGGCCGCTCCCCAGTCCCCCGAAGCTGCTACGAGGCTGAAGCCGGAGTGGATTGCTCTTCTGGAGAAGCTGGTTCCTCACTTCTCAGGTATCACCGAGAGCTCAGGTGAGGCAGAGAGTGGTGTGAAAAAGCCGGCCATGCATCTCGGTGCTAATGGACTGCTCAGCCTCCTGCCTGGGCGGGGGAGGGGCGCGGCTCGGGCGAGGGTGTCCGCCCCGCGGAGGAAGCTTTGGCGCATGCGCCCCGGGAGGCGTTGAAGCCGGGACCACCTCAACTCTGCCCTCATCTGTCTCCGGGGGCGCAGGGAGTGGCGAGGGTACTTTTGGGAAGCGGCTGGCGTGCAGTTAAGGGTGAGGCCCCTGGTTGTTTTGGCGGGTGCATGCCGGGGGATCAAGGAAATGGTTAGGTAATTTGAGGACAAGTCCCTGCTCACCATTCAGTTGAAATGAAAAAAAGAAGCTTGTTTGGGGAATGAAGTTCCCAGGATACCTGCACCATCTCCTTTCCCCCTTTCTGAATGCGGTGACCAGCACCACCTGCCCGCAGAGCAGCCCTTGTTAATCGTTTCTCCTCCCAGTTATCCAAGACTTGAATTCTGAGCTCAGCCTATAAACCTCTAGGGATAAGCAACCGCTACGCCCCCGGTAAAGAACAGGATGTGACATGCAAGTCAATGTTTAATGTCGAGTTTTTGCCTCGTCTGGTCCCAGTCCTGAGTCACAGCCTTACGTTTTTTTCGGGAGGTAGAGAGTGTGAAATTCATTTGCTACATTTGAAATACGGCTCCTTTAAAATTTTATAGCGTTTATGAGGAAGTTACATTGTTTTTTTTTTCTAACCGGAAATACTTTTGAAACTTAACGATAATTTGAACAAAAGTTACGCACGTTCCTTCAACAGTTGACAAACATTTTTTGTGCATCTGCAGTGTTCTCAGCACTGCTAGCTCCAGGAATACAAGGTGAAATCGAGTATGTTTTTTAATTTATTTATTTTTGGCTGCGTTTGATCTTCGTTGCTGCATGCAGAGTTTCTCTAGTCTCGGCGAGCGGGGGCTACTCTTCGTTGCGGGGCATGGGCTTCTCACTGCGGTGGCTTCTTGTTGCGGAGCACGGGCTCTAGGCACGCAGGCTTCAGTAGTTGTAGCACGTGGGCTCCAGAGCGCAGGCTCAGTAGTTGTGGCGCACGGGCTTAGTTGCTTCGAGGCATGTGGGATCCTCCCGGACCAGGGATCCAATCCATGTCCCCTGCATTGGCAGGTGGATTCTTAACCACTGCGCCACCAGGGAAGTCCCCAGTATGCTTTTCAAAAGCTTCTTTTCATGTGTAGAAAAATGGAATCAGAAGCGAAGTTTGCAAGAAGACTATTTCTCTTCACTTCGACATTTATAGAGGGTCTGGTGGGCCAGGCTGCGTGTCTGAAGCTGGGTGAATAAGCTCACAAGTTTATTCAGATTTTTGAAAGTGCTTCAGTAGTGGTTGCAAATGTATCACATAACTAATTGAGATGCAACAGCCTCCTGCTTTGATAGGCAAATTATAAATTGAAATTCAGGGCTACCCATAAAACATTTGATTTTCTACCAGCAACAATAATACATTTCTTCTAAAATATGTAATTGAAATAGATAACAGGGACCTACTGTATAGCACAGGGAACTCTATTCAATATTCGTAGTAACTTAAATGGGAAAAGAATTTGAAAAAGGATACGTGTATATGTATAGATGAATAACTTTGCTGTACACCTGAAATTAACATTATAAATCACTATATGCCAATATAAAATAAATATGTAATTGAGAGAGATCTTCCTTTCTAATCTGAATTAGATTTTTTTAATATTCATTTATTTATTTATGGCTGTGTTAGGTCTTAGTAGTTGCGACATGCGGGATCTTTCGTTGTGGCATGCAGGCTCTTCACTGCAGCACAGGCTTCTCTCTAGTTGTGGTGCTCAGGCTCCAGAGCATGTGGGCTTTGTAGTGTGTGGCACACAGGCTGTCTAGTTGAGGCATGTAGGCTCAGTAGTTGCGACTCGAGGGCTTAGTTGCCCCACGGCATGTGGGATCTTAGTTCCTCGACCAGGGATCGAACCCACGTCCCCTGCATTGGGAGTTGGTTTCTTTACCACTGGACCACAAGGGAAGTCCCTAGATTCTATTTTTAAACTCTTATCTTACATAGAGGTTTGATGAAAAAATCAATATTCTTTTTAGTATTTGTAGTGTTATATTGTTTGACCTCAAAGTTAAGAACACTGAGTGTCAGTGAATCAATACCAGTATCAATCTTTGTGGCCTCATAGACTTTATTAGGTAATGGGAGAACAGGAATGGAAACTAAAGCTTAGGGAACATCAGGCAGAGTTCTTTACATAAGTTGTAATGAGCTCTCTTCGGAGCTAAACGAAAATCATTTAGGCAGAGATGAAAAATATGTCTTTTGCTCAACTCTGCTCTATGTTGAAGCAAAGTTTGGCGTGTATATGTGTGTGTAAAACCTCACTGCAGTTAAACTTTATCTTGTTCACAGTCATTTCTGCTTTTCTTCCCTTTTCCTTTGGTAAAGAACACTGTCAGTATACAGCACTAGGTTTAATTTCGTCATTCCTTTCTGGTCTGGCGATGGTCTTAAAGATTTGTCTTTGCTTTAGGGTAGTAAAACACAAACTAAATCAAAAGCACCTAAACTTTGGTCTAAATCGTTTTTGAGGAGTGTAACTATAATCCATTGAAAATTAAATTTTAAAACATTTAAATAAAAATTCTTAACATGACGTGCTTGGTTGTCAGCAGAACACTTTGTGGACTACAAATTATATACTTGCTAGCATTTTTGAAACTAAGAGAAAACTGTCTTATTTTTTTTTTTTTTTTTTGTGGTACGCGGGCCTCTCACTGTTGTGGCCTCTCCCGTTGCGGAGCATAGGCTCCGGACGCGCAGGCTCAGCGGCCGTGGCTCACGGGCCCAGCCGCTCGGCAGCATGTGGGATCCTCCCGGACCGGGGCACGAACCCGCGTCCCCTTCATCGGCAGGCGGACTCTCAACCACTGCGCCACCAGGGAAGCCCCTGTCTTATTTTTTTTCTCTAACTTTGTAAACCTTCTCCCCAGCATCAAGGCTGAACTGTACCATTTAGAAGAATGGAAGCGAATGCATCTGTTGAAATGTTTTCAAAAGTCCTAGAGAATCAGTTGCTTCAGACAACCAAGCAAGTGGAAGAACATTTGGATTCGGAAATTCAGAAACTGGATCAGATGGATGAGGATGAGTTGGAACACCTCAAAGAAAAGAGACTCAAGGCACTGAGGAGAGCTCAGCAGCAGAAACAAGTAACCTCTCTGCCCTGCTTTCTGAAATTGCTCTAACAGTATGCTTCTAACAACTTACATATACCCATGCTGCAGTAGTCACTTGTAGTTCTTAGGGTGGTTTGACCTCAAAGTACCTAATGCCATTAAAAATTTGCCCAGAAAAAAGATTTGTTTTAAAGACACATTCAGAATTAGCCTGACCAGTGTATTAATCCACAGTCAAGTACAGGAAACACGCGCCCAGGATAATCTTCTGAGTTCAGATTTGTGTGGTTGAGGAGAGAGTAGATGAGGAAGAACCCTGGGAGGAATAGGGGTCAGGGGGTTCCCTTTCAGGTGGAGTTATGAGAAAGCCTGTCATAACTTAGCTGTGCTCAAAGCAAATGCGTCATTAAGGAGTGTATTTGACAGTTTATAAACTCTTTATGGAAGCTTTACCAAAGAAATAAGGAGAAAAATATCAGGGCCTCCGGTAGGTCTCAGCTCAGCGTAAGCCAACATGAAATGTATAGATACCAAAACTGGTGACGCAGTTTCGGCCTTGTTAGTGTAAGTCCAGGGATGGCACTCCTGCCCCTTTCTAGTTGGACCACTTCTGGAAGACTGTTCAGAGGAGGACAGCCAGAAGATGAAAAAGTCTAGAAGTCATTTCATAGGAGAAAGTCAAAAGCAAATGGAAATGCTCAATGTGAAGCAGGGAGGACATAGGCGATGTAGGATATTTGAAGGGCTGACGTGAAGGAGATTAGAATTTCTCTTTCTCATCTGAGGTCCAAGCTGGGCTCCATAGCCCACTGTTCTGGATATACTGTGATTCAGTGTGAGAAGACTTTTCTAAGAACAGAGAGTACATATACAAATGCTTTTTAAGCACACCTGCCAGACACTGTTGTAGTTATTGTCACGTTGTCCATTCACAGTAACTCAATGAGATAGTTGCTTTATGATCTCCACATTACAAATGAGGAAAGTGAGACTCAGAAAGGGCAGTGATTCAAGCCCATGCCTTCTGCCTGCAAGTCCAGTCCTCCCTTTTATTAAAACCAGCTCCTGAGAAAGGAAACAAGCTTCCAGTTGAGGGGACCAGCTTCCTGCCACAGGAAAGGTTCAAGAAGCTGAAATGTCTATCCGACATGGATGATAAGGGTTGATTTGTTGATTTGGGGAGTTGGATTAGGTGACTTGCGGGATCTTTGTTTCTGGACACCACGTGAAGACAAACACCTTTTTCTTCCCAGGACACTACCCATTGGTGGCCAGTACAGAAGAGGTTTGCTGTCTCTGAGTTAGTCATCAAAAGCAAACAGGGCTCCCGAGCTTCAGAGCTGCAGTACCCGCCCCCTCCCCAAAGACGGATTGGCTTTATCTCACAAGCATTATTTTTTAAAGCTATGTAGTAACTTAGATCAAATGCTTCTGACTTTAATAGTTTCAGTGCAAAGAAATTAAGTAGATGGTTACATTCTAAGTCTCTTTGTAGTCTAAATTTTTACTTTCGAAGTTCTAAGAAAATGTATGTTTTAAGTTACCAAGACAGATAATCATCTTAAATATGAGCCATGCTGTGGAGATAGTTACGGCCCACAGACTGTATTTGCATTGACACTAACAACATAGGAAAGTACATCACCGAAAGGAATTCGTTTCTCTCTAAGATAAAGTCAGCTTGATTACAAAATACTATATAGTGATTTGGACATAAAATATAAAGTGATATTGAAAGAGATATTTCAAATGTGTGATATTTTCCCTTTTCTCCAAATCAGGAATGGCTTTCAAAAGGACATGGGGAATACAGAGAAATCCCTAGTGAGAGAGACTTTTTTCAAGAAGTCAAGGAGAGTAAAAAAGTGGTTTGCCATTTCTACAGAGACTCCACATTGAGGTAATTTGTTTTCCCTCAGTGACTGTTCTTGAACATGATGAGATTGTTGAATAGAGATACACTGACTTAATAGAGAAATTAAGAAAAATATAAAAGGAAGTAATTCCTAAGTTGTCTCTTTGTACTAGAATTATATTAAAGTTAAGCAGTCATTAAAGATTAACTTAAAAACCAGTGTCATACAAAAGTACAAACTATAGAAGATCAATATTTCCATAGAAATGGCTATTTCCTGAACTATATTTTCACTAGCTAATTTTTAAAACATCTTAGAAATGAACACTTTAATTTTTTTATCAATGCCAAAGGAATTCTACTTTTGTCCCTACTATTATGATACAGCCACAGTGTTGGAAATGGGGCCAACACCTGAACACCAGCTTTGAATTCAGTCACTTCTCAACTTGCAATTCACCGGGAGACTGTGGCTTGACCAAGCCTTTCACCTGAAGCAGAGTTGCGGCACCAGGCATGGCTGGAAGGACAATAAAGTGATTTCTATTAGACGAACCCAGGTCTGCCAACCTCTCTTTGGAGGCAGATCCCTCAAAGTGAAAATAGCCCCAGAAGAGGTTACATCTTAAACCAGAAGACTCAAGCCTTTTTTTTTTTAGCCCCCAAATTTGAATACTTGCCAACATTTAAGTGTTGGCAAAAAAACTTTTAAATGTTGGCAACTAATCAGATTTTAGAATTTTTTTTTAAGTATCAGATAACTTGATAACAGACCTAGAATTGTATGAAAGCAATTCACTGATGCCAAGTAGCTCCTGCCCCCCTTAGACACACACTCCAACGCAGAGTCTCTGTTATTCCCTGGGATCCCAGCCCTGCCCTCTTCTCGCATTTCCAAAGCCTGCCTGGCCCTTGTCTTTACCTCATCACCCAACAACGTGGCTATTACTTAACACCTTTCAGGGACTGATTGCCTGGGATTTATTGACTAAGAAAATAAAGATGAAAGAAAATAACTGAGATGATGAAATCTCCTATAAGGGAAAGTGGGAAAGGGATTAGGAAGGTAAATAGAAGATTGATATTATTTGTCCACTTATTTATTAGATGTCTCTGCCCACTAGATTGTTAGTTTTGTGAAGGCAGAGGGTTTGCCTTTGTGTCGTGTGGCCCACTGTGCTCTGGGTTCCTAGCCATAGAGCAGCACTGACTACACATAGTAGGTACTCAGTAAGTATACTTGATGGATTTATAAACAGTGCAGCACCAGCAGTACTTACCTTAAAACAGAACTGAAAAGTCAAGATTGAAATGAGATGATAGAGATATAGATAGGTAGATATCAAAGTTTCTAGCACATAGTACGCTAGATACTTCGTGTTGTATAAAATCCTGGAGCATTCACAATCACCGTTGGAGGTAAGCACGTATAATTCCTGTGCTTCATGCGTGGACACTAAGACTTGGAGAGATTAAGTGACCTACCTAACGTCACTCAGCTCCTAAATAATAAAAGAGGATTTGAACCCAGGTTTTAAGCCTAATGCTGTTTTAACTACACCATAACTACTACTTCTGGATTTTTAAAAAATGGATTAATTGACAAGTGGGACACAGACCTATTTAAAATAGATTCCGTATTACTCCAATAAAACAATGGAGTTGATTTTTGTACAAATCTTCAAGAAAGTATTTCTCAAAATGATTTGTCACTTGTTTGGAACTTCATTCAAAAACAGCTTATTCCCCTACCATTTTTCACTAACATCCCATTGCTGCAGTACGTGGGTGACATATAAAAAGAATCACTCAGGTGATGATGCATCAAGGGTATAAGAAACTCCGTGGACCCAAACCTAACTCAGGAAAAACTATACCAAGAAGTACCCAAAAAGCCTACTAGTAAAACCAGCTATGAAGCGTTCGGTGTCTTAGTCATCGAAAGCAGTAGTTCTCAAACTTTGCTGGGCATGAGAATCACTTGCATGTTTCTCAGCTCAGCTCCTAGAGAATTCTGATTCATTTGCATATTTTAAAAGTTGACTGTAATAATCACCTCTGGGTAAGAACTACTGCTCAAAAGATTATTACAGTAGTCTTTCAGAAACACTAGAGGGTTGGCCGGTTTAAAATATAATTTAAAGAAAAGATCGCTTTCCACTCTTCATGTGGCTTAATAAAGGTTACTGCTGGTATTTTTCATACCGTAATGACCATATTTGTAGCCCTTAACCTTGATACGCTGCTCACTAACAGAGTTGCACAGTTGGAAGGGTTCCTTCTCAGTGACACCATTCAGTCTTTCTTAGTGACTTCCGAATGTGGCCCCACATGTTCCCTTCTAATTCTGAGAACTGTCTTCCCAAGTTCTGTCAAGTTCAGATTTGTCACCTATGAGATGCCAGGAAACATGCATAAGGGAAATGACAATTTTTTTATTCTTAACCATGAACATGACAGCTTTGTGAACCACTTAAGGCATAAGTTGAATACTTCGTTTTTTATAAGTATCATTAAGGGAGATCTGACTTTCTAGAATATGATATCATGAGAGGTAGAAAAAGAGGTACCTAACCTGTGAAATGGAAATGAGGTTATCTGATCGAAGCATAGGTTGGCTGCCAGATTATGAGATTCAGAAAAACTAAAAGCTTAGGTGTGCCTTAATATTTATTTTGAAAAAGAAATCTGTTGTTTTTAGCTTTTGATTTTCTATGTGTTGTCACTTATAGGTGTAAAATACTAGACAGACATTTGGTGATACTGTCCAAGAAACATCTTGAGACCAAATTTTTGAAGCTGAATGTGGAAAAAGCACCTTTCCTTTGTGAGAGACTGCATATCAAAGTCATTCCCACGCTAGCACTGGTGAAAGATGGGAAAACACAAGATTTTGTTGTTGGATTTTCTGACCTAGGAAATACAGATGACTTCACCACAGAAACTTTAGAATGGAGGCTGGGTTGTTCTGATATTCTCAATTACAGGTAACTTTTAGTAAACTATCAATTTGTATTAATTCACATACCCAGTTGATTTTTTAGAGAATTTTTTTATGTTAACATTTATTTTATGGAACTAAGATCTTTAAGCTGAGATGTAGAAAAATTTTCACAAAGGAAAAGCATATTTCTTAAAGTGTACATTAGCACGATCTTACAGCAAAATCAGAGTTATAAATAAAATTGATCTTGGATCTTGGAGTCCATCTAACTATAAAAGTTTTCAAACTAACAGAGCCTATGGAATCTAATTCTCTGTTAATCTGGAAACCCAAATGACACTCCAGAAGAATTGACTCCTTCCTGATTTAAACGCGTTTAATCAAATTGATAATGACTTACATGAAAAATCTAATGTTTGAAAGTAGATATTCCTGTATCACTTGTAGAATCTGATAAAACGTATAAAATCTCATCTCTATGCTTAGCTTAAATTACTTACTCTGGGAAACAGTCTCAGAAAACCATCTGTTGATAAAATCCAACTTCCATTTTCCGCTTATCTCTTTGTCCACTTCTCTAGACAAGTAATTTATCTAATTCCACAAATCGGAGCATATCGTCTTATCTTTTGGGCCTGTTTTTGATTTGCAAAAATAACAGGTGAAATTTTCCAGTTATTCCAGTCAGAGTGCCTTTTGATAAGTAGAAACCTCGCTCATCTCTTTACTTCCCTTCCTCCTTTATCTCTAAATCTCTCCTCCACATGCATAAATCATTCCTATATTGTAGTGATTGATTTTGGAGTTTTAGGTTTTATTTTCTTAATATTAAGTAAAATGTTAATATTAAATAGAATTATTTTGAAGTGATTTCAAACTTTAAATAAGTTGGAAACTAGTACAAAGAATTCTTGAATTCTTGTATATCACTGACCCGTGTCCCTCAATTTTCAACATTTTATCTTTGCTTTATCGTTCTCTTTCTAGATACATATAAACTTTTTTTCAGAACCATTTGATTGGACGTTGTAGATATATTGTCTCTTTACTCCTAAATGTTTCTGTGTGCATTTCCTAAGAACAGGAACATTTCTTATATAACCACAGTACAATTTATTAAAACACAAAATACAGTTTACAGACCTTATTCAAATTCCACCATTGTCCCAATAATGTCCTCCATACTGGAAAAATGGGTTCTGTGTACTTACTATGTATTTTTAGTTTCCATTAACCTGTAGCAACTTGTTCCCCTCCTTTGTTTTTCAATACTTTAACATTTTGGAAGAGTACAAGCTAGTTATTTTATAGAGCATTTCCTAGTTTGTTTCAAAGTTAGATTCAGATTCTGCGTGTTTTCCACAGGTGTATTATGGAAGTGATGTTGTATTCTTTCTTCTCAGTGTACCATATCAGGAGATATATGATGGTTTGTCTCATTGCTGGTGGTGATGACTGTGCACTGGTTAACCAGTTGTCCACCAAGCCAACTGGTGATTTAAGGAAGAACTTCTCCAGGCCCCACATTAACTTACTTCTTCATTTATCTGTATTAGAATGGGCTGTGGATTCTTTTATTCAGTGGGTTATAGTCTGTTGCTGTTATTATTTACTTTGAAGCTCAGATTGCCTCAAATTTGGCCAGTGAGAGCCTTTTCATACTGGCTTCTGTGTCCTTTTGACACATCCCCATAATTCTTTGAGCACTTTCTTTCTGGTGCACGTAAGGTCTTTTAGGGGGCCTCGTGTTATACTCTCCATAGGAACTGGCTTTTTCTCCAAGACGCCATGGTTCCTTTCAGTGGTGGATGATATTTCAGAACCAAGATCTAGCTGCTAGGAATATTTCCAGATATTTTCTAAATATTTTTCAGGCGTCATGAAAAGAGTTCCATACTAATTCTGGGTTAATGATAATGAATTCCATGAGTTTTGTTGATGTCTATAGAGATCGAAGCATTAAAAGATGTTAAATAGAATCAAACCAGTCATAACAGGCTATCAAAAATAGAGCATGGTTTTCCTGTGTCATTCTCAGGAAAGAATCTAATACAGATTCAGCATACCCAAAACAGATAAAAATAACTGATTTCCTTCTATGCTTTTTCAGTCAGAAATTTTGTTGGTGCATCCCGTGAAATGTTAATCAGTAATTAATGATAAGAAAATAAAACGCTGATCTAAAGCATTTAGTAGTACATAGTAAGGTTTAAAACTGTTAACTATCAGTGTAAATAATACACCTCTTCCTTGACACCAACATTTTAAAGAAAATTTTACTCTATTCCTTGTGTTACAGTGAGGATAGATTTTTGTGCAGTTTAGTATACCAGCTGTACTAAATCATACAGAATAAGTGTTTTTCAAATTTGCTTTCTTTTTAGTGGAAATTTAACGGAGCCACCATTTCAGAGCCAAAAGAAATTTGGAACAAACTTCACAAAACTGGAAAAGAAAATTATTCGAGGCAAGAAATATGATTCTGACTCTGATGATGATTAATTCTTTGTAAATCGTCTCCTGACTTCAGAATTAGATGTGTTTTCTAAATTCTGTTGATTTCAGTACATTCGTCTCCTAATGGTCACATTCTAGAGTTTTATGCAGTTGCATCACATTGAAAAACATCTGTGATATTTTCTGTGTGGAGCTCGTGTTTAAGTTGAGGAAAACTTCTGAGTTCTAAAATTATCTGAGTCGGGTCTGGATTCTCTGTTTTTGAGATTGGTTTTATCACAATATGATTCTTACATTTTTATACCATTCACAATTGTGTTTTTAATCTACTGGATTGGAAATAGAAATTCAGCACACTATTCCAGGACTAATTCTTACCTAGCATTATTTACTTTATAAAGAGGTCAAGTAACATTTACTGGTGTAACAGACTGCACTTGTAAATGATTAGAAACACTCTTTACTTCTGGAATATAAGTAACTTAAAGAACTGTATTTATTCTGTATGCCGCATGGTGTTGTTGAGTCAACTGATGGCAACAGAAAGCTTTTTCAGGTTGTGAACATACTGCCTTATGTAAAGGGTCTTGATTGCTTATATTTTAAGACATGTATTAAACAAATCAAGAAGCACTTTCGAAATAGCAACATGAGGAGACGTACAGACCCCTCAGTGAAACAATCATAACTGGTAAATATTTTTTTAGAAATTAAAGTCTCTGGAAATTGTCATAAGAGCACACAGCAAACAGAAACATTTATCCAAGAAAATACTCAATCCTGGTAAGAATAGTGAGTCTCTGTGGTATTTGAACCATGAGCCTGCACTTCCTCCCCTCATCTCCCAGTCTTGGCCTACAGTTTATCCCTAGGAGGAGCAGACTGCTAGCATCTCTCATTCCCCCAAGGTCTGTGTTGCAGAAGCTCTGTTGCAAGCAGCAGTAGCAAAGAGGTCTGAGCCTGCCTTCCTCCACCCAGTCCCCACTTGTAGCACAGAATATCTACCCCAGGAATACTGTTTTCTAATCACTGTTGCCCTGGCGTACTCATAAACTAGAGCAATAGTGATTAGGGTGGAGGTTCCATGGAAGGAGAGGCAAGCAGAGAAGATCAGGGGCTACCACCCACTGCTTTACTTACAGACTACTAGCAAAGCCAGCTACTCTCCCCATCCCCAGTCCTGGGGGAGTAGCACAGAGGTTCTGCCCAGTGGGAGAAGCAGGCTGTAAAAACAGCTTCCATAGCATTCCCTAAAGGGACTGACTTTATTTAGAACAGAGAAAAGTTGAAGCATAAGGATGCTGCTGCAGACAAAGGAGATTTCAGGTGGGGTTGGGGGTGAAGTAAGAGGAGCCTGGGATCTCCAGGTTAGCAAAACAAGCAGAAAGGAAGGCCAGTGAGAATTTCAACAGAGAATGAAAGTGGAAGTTCAGAGTAGCCCTACAGTTGGAACAAACCTCAACAACTACAAAAACCTAAATTCAATTAGATTGAACTGTGTGGCAATTTATGTCCCAGGACATTGTCAAATAATAGAGAGGTCCACCAGCAATTAGTGGATGTTAACAGCACAGCGTGATAACAATGGAGACAGACCAACTAGAACTCTTGCAGGGACGGCAGGGAAAGAAACAGCAAGAGAGCCTTGCTAAAACTACTGTCCTTGGGGTTGAGGGGAGGTGTCAGCGACACTGCCTATGCCCAGGCGACGTACTGCAACATCAGAGGCCATACAATTCAGGGTAAGTGGACTTAGCCAAAATGGTCCAGCTAAGTCACTAACCATATAAGCAAACAAGCCCTGGAGAAGGGAGTATGAGTCTCCAGAACTGCTGTATTATGTAAAATGTCCAGTTTTGAACCAAAAAAGTAAGATCTACAAATAAACAGGAAAGTGTGACTCATACATGGTGGGGAGAAAAGCAATAAAAAAAATTTTTTAAAAAAATTGCCTTTGAGTGGGTCCAGGTATTGGAAGCAGACAAAAACCTCAAAGCATCTCAATATATATATACATACATACACCCATACACATACTAAAACCATGCTGAAGGTAAAGGAAGGTATAATATTCCTTCAAAGAATATTAATGGAGATAGAAATTATTTTTAAAGAACCAAATGGAGATCTCTGGACTTAAGAAGTATAATAACTGCAATGGAAGATTCATTAGAGGGACTCAACAGTAGCTTTGCAGTAGAAAGCCAATGTGGGGATTAATCAATATAGATAATGCAGTCAGAAGAACAGGAAAAAGAAAAAAAAAAACAGCTTCAGAGAAATAGGGAACATCAACATATATGTCATGGAAGTGCCACAAAGAGGAGAAACTAGTGAGTAGAAAAGTTACTAGAAGAAACTGCCTAAAAATCTCAAGTTTGATGAAAAGCATTAATCCAAGAAGGTCAGGTTCTGAAAATAAAAGGATCCACACCCGGACATACCAGAATAAAAATGTTTAAAGACAGAAGAATCTTGAAAACAAAGAAAAACCACTAATCATGTACAAGGAAACCACATTAACAGTTGACTTATTAGAAACAATGAGGACCTAAGGCAGTGGAAGGACATGCCAGGTGCTAAAAGGAAAAAACTCAACCAAAGAGTTTACATCTAACGAAACAGGCTTTCAGAAATGGAGGCAAAATGACACAGATTTTAAGAACTCATTCCCAGGAAACCCACCTTACAAGAAATGCTACATGATGTTTTTCTATCTGAAAGGAAGTGAGACCCCACAATTATTCACACCCTTACCAAAAGTCAATGCCAATTAAAATGTAAGAAATTATAAAAGACATTGTAACAACTTATTTTCCCTTCTTTTGGCTGATATAAAAGCAATTGTATAAAACAATATACATATATACATAATTGTGGTGTTGCACCTATAACATATGGAAACGTATATTTGCATATAACACCATAAAGCAGGTGGGAGCAAATATTTCATACTTCAATAATGAAACAACAGAAAGCTAACAAGAAATTGTGAATTAAAAGGTTAATTTAAAAAATCTAAAAATATATTCAGCTACTTTAAAACAAACTTCTAGAAAGTATTATATGTTTAACATATAGTGATGCAATGTGGGTAACAAATGCTATACAGCTAAAGTAGATTCTGACAAGATGTATACTGTAAGTCCTAGGGTATCCATTAAGAAAATAATTCCCAAAATATACAGAAAAATATTATTAAAGAACATAAAATATTACACTAGAAAATATTCACTTAAACCAGAAAAAGGAGAACACAGGAACAAAGAAGATGTAATGTATAGAAGACAAAAAGGTAAAAGGACATGTAAACCCAACCATATACATAGTAACAATACATGTGAGTGAATTATTACTCATGCCTAACAATGATTAGGCAAAGGTTGTCAGACTGGATAACAAAAACAAGACTCAACTATATTCTGTCCACAGGAGACACACTTTAAAATCAAAGGTAAAACTACAATGAAAAAGCTATACCATGCAAGCACCAGTCAGAGAACTGGAGTGGCTAAACTAATAGACTTGAAAATAAAAGCTTATTACAGATAAAGAGGGTAATTTTATGATAGAAAAGAACCTGTCAGGAAGCTATAACAGCGTAAACATCTCTGCACCTCACAACAGAACTCATGTTCTTGATAGTTCTGTATTTTGCTGCAAGAATTCTGAAGCAGAACTTGATAGAATTGAGGGGAAAATAGACTATTCAGCAATACTAGTCAGAGACATGACCCTGCCTCCCCTTTAAATAATGAATAGAAAAACTAGTTAGAAGATCCACAGGGAAATAAGACTTGAACAGCACTATAAACCGACTACTTAACACATCTATAGAACATTCACACAATAGACAATTCTCAAGATCACATGGAACATTCTCCATGATAGACCATATGTCAGACCATAAAAAAGCCTCAATAAATTGAAAAAATATTAAAAGTCGTAAAAGGTATGTTCTCTGACCACAATGGAATGAAATAAAGACAAAACTGAGAAATTCAAAAATATGTAGAATTTAGTGAACTCTTAAATAACCAATGAGTCAAAGGGAAAGTTCACAAGATAAATTAGGAAATCCTTTGAGATATATGAAAATAAAAATGCAACATACCAAAACTTATGGGCTGCCACTAAAGCACCATTTTCAGGGAAATTAATAGCAGTAAACACCTATATTAAGATAAAAAGATCTCAAGTCAATGATCTCCCACCTTAAAATGCTGGTAAATGGGAAATTTATAGTAGCAAACACCTTTTAAAGAGAGGGAGACTTCCAGTTTCTGGTCCAGCATGTAAGAAGCTTGGAAGTCACCATTCCATCCTAACAAGTAAAAAGCTGAACAAACTGAAAAATCAACAACTCTTTTTATGTCCATAAGAGAAGTTAGGTCACAGGGAAAACCACTGTTCCTAAAATTAGACAGACCAACAGATAATATAGAGAATTACAATTTACTGGAGCAGCAATCTCCTTGGGAACCAGTGCCAGGGTAGGGACACCTCAACTATAGTTTGATGAATTTCTGGAGGCTCAGTGTGGACAAGTCAGACTTAAAACCTCCAGGGGAACTCATTCATCAGGGGAGGGGAGACCCTACACTTGTGAGTGTTATCTCCGGGATCTCTATCGGATTCTCAAAATGAATGTCAAAGAAAAATCCCGTCATGGTTCTGTTGGGGGGAAGGGAAAAGGAGGCATTTTGAAATATGCCAGAGCATTCTGTTCTCCTTAATAAGGTCTGGCCTTCAGACCAAAACCTAACTGCCCTGGGGAAGGGAAATACCCAACCCTAGTCCCAATTTACCATCCTGTCCCACCTAAGAGGTGAGGAGAAAAAAAGCATGAGTGAAGTTCACCGTCCAGAAGCACAGGCTCACTAAAAGTCGGAGACATAATCATAGGAATAAAATGTTTTTGCTCCTCCCAAACCTTATCACAACACTACTAAAGGCCTGTTTCCAACAGTTCCTCTTACCCAGTACATCATGCTCAGCTATCAAGAAAAAATTAAATGACAACAGTAAAAAACAAAAAGAAAAACCCCACAATTTTAAGAGACAGAGCAAGCATAAAACCCAGACTCAGATATCACAGGGTGTCAGAATTATTAACTAGGATTTTTAAAACCATGATTATTATGTTAAGGGCTCTAATGGATAAAGTAGACAGCATACAAGAACAGGTGGGCAATGTAAGCAGAGATACCTAAAGTTTAGGAAAGAACAAAATAGATACTAGAGATCAAAAACACTGTAACACAGATAAAGAATACTTCTGATGGACTTATTAGTAGACTAGTAGACATGGATGAGGAAAGAATATCTGAGCTTAATGATATTGCAATAGAAACCCACGAAACTGAAAAAGAGGGAAAAAAGGGGAGGAGGGCTAAAAAAAATAAGCAGAAAATCCAAGAACTGTGGGACACCTATAAAAGGTGTAACATAAGCATGGTGGGAATACCAGAAGGAGAAAAGAGAAAGGAACGGAAGAAATATTTGAAACAATAATGACTGAAATTTTCCCAAAAATTGATATCAGATACCAAATTTAAAAAGTAGAGATCATATAAATGTCTGCTCTCAGACTACAGTGGAATCAAAATAGAAATCAATAACAGATAGCTGGAAAATCCCCAGAGATTAAACAACACATTCTTAATAACACATGAGTCAAAGAAGTCTCAAGAGAAATGTTTAAATATTTTCACTAATGAAAATGAAAATACAATTTATCAAAATTTATGGGATGCACTACTATATATAAAATAGATAACCAATAAGAGCCTACTGTATAGCACAGGGAACTCTACTCAATACTCTGTAATGACCTCTATGGGAAAAGAATCTAAAAAAGAGTGAATATATGGATAAGTATAAATGATTCACTTTGCTGTACAACAGAAACTAACACAACTTTGTAAATCAACTATACGCCAATAAAAATTAATTTTAAAAAATGTATGGGATGCAGCAAAGGCACTGCTTAAAAGGAAACTTACAGTACTGAATGCATATATTAGAAAAGAAGGTCTAAATAAATCATCCACCTTAGGAAAGTTGGACAAGAGAAAATTAAATCCAAACAAGCAGGAAAAAAAGAAATAATTATTAGAGCAGAAATCAATGAAACTGGAAGTAGGAAATCAATAGAGAGAAATCAACCAAACCAAAAGCTGGCTCTTAGAAAAAAACAAATTTGATAAACCTCTAGCCAGGCTAAGAAAAAAAGAGAGGACACAAACTATTTTACAGAAATGGAAGAGGAAACATCACTACAGATTGTGGACATTAAAAGGATAATAAATAATATGAACAAATCTGTCCCTGCAAATTTGATAACCTAGGTGAAATGGACCAATTTCCTGAAAGACACAATCTGCTAAAACTCACACAAGAAATAGATAAATCTCAATAGGCTTCTTTCTATTGTATTATAAAATCAACAACTACTAATCTTCCAAAACAGAAAGCACCAGACACAGATGGGTTCACAGGTGAATTTCAGCAAACATTTAAGGAAGAAGTTACACTAATTCTATACAATCTTTTTCAGAGGATGGAATCAGAGAGAATATTTCCTAACTCATACAATGAGACCAGCATTACCTTAACGCCAAAAAAAAAAAAAAAAAAAAAAAAGACAGTACAAAAAAAGACAGACCAATATCTGTCATGAACATAGATGCAGAAATCCCCAATAAAATATTAGCAAATCAATCCAGCAGTTTATTAAAATAATCATACAGCACAACCACGTGAGATTTATCCCAGGTATGCAAGACTGTTTCAATATGCAAAAATCAATGTAATCACAGGCTAAAGAATTAAAATCACATAATGATATCAATGGATACAGCAGAAAATGCATTTGACAAAATCCAACACCATTCATGATAAAAACTCTCAGGGAACTGAGATTAGAGGGAAATTTCCTC